ATAGATACTGGAATTAACATTCAAATAAAAGTCCTTTTATCTTTTTTAGACTAGAGGCATAGGCCTGTCTGTGTATTATAGCCCTCTCAGTAGGAGAGCTATACAGCCAGAAATTGGCCTCCAACAAAAGCGGATCAAGGTCTTGTTGGACCATCTGCCAGGGTGACCTTTAGTAGTTGAGAGAATGCGCCGGAGGTGGTTGACTGTCGTGTTATATGTCCGTGTGGGCATTACAAGCGTGAAGGAATCATGGTGATTCCTCAGCCTGTAAAAACATCTTAGCATGCCTCTGCCTCTTCAATTTCCCTGTTTCTTGGGTATTGAAAGTACAGGATGGGGTCTAGATCTCTTGTAGTTGGGTCAACAGAGCTTATCAGCCTTGTTGGAGGGCCGTAGGGTTGGGCATTGCCCATGATGACTTGGATCCTAGAGTTTTGTCCAAATCCGTTCGTTGACAAAAATGTTCCCGATTTGCCGGGCAAATCGGGAAGAATTTCAGCTTCCAACGGATTACGAATTTGAGGCTTCAGTAAAGGTTGGTAGGGTTTGTACATAAGTACATAATTTACATACGGTATTTTGGAATTCGTTTTCGGATTCGTTGACCGTGAGTATTGGCCTGAACAGCAATAGAAAATAAAAAAGGGGCGATGCCCCTTTTTTACTCGTCCGTCAAAAGGGGCTCAAGTGAAGAGCAATAGAAAATAAAAAAGGGGCGATGCCCCTTTTTTATTCGTCCATCAAAAACAAGAGATTGAAAAGGGGCTCAAGTGAAGAGCAATAGAAAATAAAAAAGGGGCTATGCCCCTTTTTTATTCGTCCGTCAAAAACAACAGAACTGACAACCTACTGTAGAAAAAGGGCTCAAGTTCGAGTTTGTCAACACCAAAAAGAAAAAAATGAACAGAGCAAAAGAAGAGATTAAAAAGGGCCTCAAGTGGAAAGCAATAGGTCCATCACAAACAACAGAAAGCAGCAGAAACGATTAAAGAAAAAGGCAACCTTAAAAGAAAATGCCAACCCTTCCCCTTTTCTTTTTCTATAGGGTATATATAATATAGTAGTTGATATCCTTGGCTGATTGTTGTCTTCGATTCGACGGACTTCTTGACTGATGGCCATGTAACCGTATTTTTATTGTATTTTCCCCAATCTCCGTTCTGTTGTACAAAAGTATTCGTAAAACCATCAATTATTGCCCAAATGTAGAAGGAAAACGATCGCTAGCAGCACCTAATATAGTAGTTGATATCCTTGGCTGATTGTTGTCTTTGATTCAACCTAGTTATTGACTGATGGCCATGTGACTCTCCCCAATCTCCGTTCTGTTGTACAAAAGTATCCGAGACATCATCAACTCTTGCCCAAATGTAGAACAAAATCAAACGCTAGCAGCACCTAGCATGATTGTTGAGATCGTTGGCTGATTGTTGTCTTCAAATCAATGTTTTGTGCAAGTAACAAGCGCTGGATGATTCAATCTCATTTTGATGATTTTTCGCAAAGTGATCCGTCAAGTGATCCGTCAAGTGATCCATCATACGCCCGCATGTACAAAATGTACCACAGTGATCCGTCAAGTGATCCGTATGGAGAATTTTGACGGATCACTTTTATATATTATCCATTAATGAATACTTTTACATGGTGAATTTGCACTATTTCTTAGGCATACGGTACCACAACGACACTGACACCATCATGAACACCTGTCAACTCAGCAGCCTTGGCCAGTAAAAAAAAAATTGCACTCTTCCCACAGCTGCATGGGATTGTTGCATGCACATTTTTGGAGGATTATCGACAACTAGTCGCAGAAACTCTTCTTGCCCATTCAAGAAGTTAGAATTGTCCCCGTAAATTGTCCTCAGTGCAAACTCTAGATCAGACATCTCCAAAAACGACCTAGAAACACTCCTATTGTCCTCTCCCAGACTTTTGTGAAAGATACGGAACATCTCGTCCATGGGCCTTTCAACAGCATGGTGGGACTGGTGGGTGGTCAAAGAATGACCCGTCTGCTTAGCAATGCAGTCAGACTCTCCCCTTGAAATAGTAGCTCCAAAGATGAAGCTTGTGATATCTGTCCACACATGACGAAGATCCAGCATAGAAGGAAGAGTATCTAGCTGGAATATCTCCGGGGCCATGTGTGTTGGCTTCAGTCCATCGACTGAACAATATCCCGTCTTTTCTTTGGCAAGAAGATACAAGAGATACAAGCAACTCAAGGACCACAGTAGACATCTTTCCACAAAACCATTGGATGTCCGGAAAACATTTGACCGCTTGAAACCCTCTGCCGAATACCATACCTCGCCATTGAAGAATCATGTCCCCTTTTTTTCTTATCACCGCTTCAATTTGCTTGATAGAACCATCATCCTGTCGTACTCCCTGTCTTACTAGCTTCTTTGCAACCTTGTTTGTTTGGGCATGATAGAAGCCAAGCTTGAGGCCGTCTCCACCGTTTTTAATAGAGTCTTTGAACGCAAAAGCAGTCACAGCACTTCCCATGACCTTGGAAACATGTGATTGGTGATATGATTTATAGGAGACTGCATCTCCTGGATAAAACCACGTCCGGCCGGACAATTCATCCCTGGACAAAAATCAGCTCCAACTATCACATAATCCTGCAATGTGAAAGGAGCCCTCATATCATCCTCAACAACAATTCCGCCCTTGCGTTCTGGGCGTTTGGTGAGGGCGGTGTCAGTCTCTGGCATGTTGCGGATCATTTGAATATTTGCAGCGCGCACAAGCACATGATGAGCCTCGTCTCTGGTTTGCCTCTTTGCTCGTCCTGCCTTTGCCTGCGCTTGCTTTTTCACCTCCCGCTCTTCTTCAGCCAGTGTGATTGTTGTTTGTGTTTGTGTTGGTACTATTGCCATCACTTATGTTGTCGTCGCTGTTGTTGTCAGTCGTCGTCATCATGGTTGAAAGAAATGCTGAAGAATAAATTATGAACATACGACGGTCACAATTTCTGTTGCCCGCGCCATAATTTCACAGCAACAGCGACGACCGTGCCGCTTTTTTCATTGCTTGTTTTTGGAAATGGGCATGTGTGACTCCAATACTAATATCATATCCTGCAGTGACAATGTTGGTATGAGAGTGGTACCATTATAATAGTCATTGGACACTTGACAAGGCCATATTGTCAATGTACATTGGGTGTTGAATTCACTCAGTTCTTCATTGATGAAGACCTTGGTGATAACGATGATGGGATAAATCAAAATCTGCTGACTGTTGGCTTTGAATTGGTACTAATTCTACATGTTCCACATGATAATGACTGAACTTCTGACAAAAATTGTCCAAAAACCGAGACCTGCATTTTTTGAGCAATTTACCTTGTAAACCATGTCTTCAGAGACTGTTTTGGAGAAAACCAGTCACTTTTCGCACAATGACGCGTCACAACTGACCTTTACTAAGACGTTGATAGTAGCGTACCAACACCCCAAAATTGCATTTTAGTGGTTGATCCAGCCTCTTTACATTGACACAAAACTACTACAACCTGAGAAGTGCAATTATTTTGTATAGTTAGTGAATAATTAGCCACTTGCTATGAGCCAGCAAATTTGAATCCTAAACATTTTCAGCAGCTACAAGTTCTTGAATTCTGGCCCTTTCTTCCTCTTCTCTAGCAATCCTGGCCTCTGCGCGTTGGTTGTTGCTCCCCTGTGAAGCCTGAATGCTAGTAGCAAACAGTTTGATGCAATTGAGTATTTCGGCAATCATCGAATCAATGCGAGACTTATCCAAATTCAGCTCAATCAATTTGGATCTCTTCTCCTCCATTTTCTTGTAGTTTGATCCAGGAATGTCAAACAGATAAAGCATACTCGTTAGGACCTGACTCTTGACACCATTCCGTACCTGCTTCCAGCGTTCCCAATAGTTTGAAGGATTCAATTGAACATACTCTTGGAACAACTTCATATGCTTTTCAAGTGAGTTCTTCCTCTCTGTACCGCTGATCTTACCATTCTCTCGTTTCTTCACTTCCTGGCTCTGCCACAAACCAATCTGCTCCTCGCTCAGGACACTTCCATTGGTTTGCAAGTGAGCCTTGGAAGAACAAAACTTCAGACCATTGTCCACAGGATCGATCTCCAGCTTCATCTTTGCCATTGTCTGACTTGGATTCAGTTTTGCTTCTAGGCCAAAACATTGCAGCAGGAAACAAACTTGGCCATCTGTCTTTGGATTAGATAGAACTGTATTGGGCCTGTTGAAACATTGATAACAATGGGCAGCACCCACATGAGGTGAGTCCGCATGAACCAGACAAATTGCTTCAAAAAGTTTGCAAGAGCGCCTATTGGGCCTGCTTCCCAGTTCAAAAGTTCCACCCGGTTTGCTTGTGTTGATAAGCAGCCAATCTTTGGCATTTATAGCAGGAAAGTCATGTTGATCTTTTTCCTTGTGTGTCCTCAATCCTTTCTCTGACAAAAAGATCCTTCGACAGTATCTTTCCGTTTCTGGACACTTATCATCACACAGAAACAGACCAGAATCCTTCTGCTGCTGTCTTCTGTCATTGACAGTATCTTGAATCTTCTTGCTTTTTGTCTTGGCCCAATTCTGCTGATTCTTAGAACGGACCACCTTTGAGTTTGGCCCTTCTCCTGGTCTGGACAGATGGGATTGCTTCTCTTGCTTTGCATTGGTGGTAGTCCGAAGGCTTGTCCAAGACGGTTTGCAAAGTTCAACAAGATCAAAGTCCAATCCGGTCTTTGAAGACAAATTTGTGATGTTAGTTCTTTGAATGCATCATTCTTGAGAGGAAATCACAAAACATTATGCACTTACCTCCGTGTCGTAGATGTCCACTAGTCTCGCTGTTTCTCCCTCTGGCATGTGAAAGACAAACTTTGAATGGAACAAGCGCTCTCCTGATCCATAACCAGTATGCTTGAAAGCCATCAAAAATACATTGTTGATACCAGTGTTTGGAATGTCTTGACAAAGAAGATCCGTAGTTAGGATGCTGGAGCTGAACCTCTCCCCCTTTGCAAGCTCAATTGAAAGTTGGTTCTCTCGACTTGGCAGGTATCCAGCAAAAACAGTTGATGATAGGCCCCTGGATTGTTCGATGCAATCCAAAATGGTGTCCGAGTTGTAGTAGTGTCCACCATTGTCAACGGCAGTTGATAAGACAATGGACGTCCTGCCAAACATTCCGTCCAAATTTGTCTTTCCGTCGCCCGCGGGAGTGAGCCAAAACCTGATTACCCTAATATTAACCCAGTGCTCCCAGAAAGGTTGAATTACACAATGAAGTTTCGATTTGAAACATCCAGCTCCGTCAGCAACAAAAATTGTCTTCTTTACATGATCTGAGAGGTGATTCTCATAAACATAGGACTTGGCGCACGCTACTGCCCAATCGTCCTGACAGGCATCATTGGTAGCCAGCATTACAAACGAGACATCCTTGACTCCCTTCTCCTTCAATAAAGCATCTTCTGAATTTGTTACAATCATGAACCCAAGCATCGGAGTACCTTGCTTCCATTTTCTTTGGTTCTCTCGATAAAAGCAAGATATAATTTTCATCTTGTAATCGGAAGTGACAATGGCGGTGTCGTCTTCCAAGTTTTCCAACTCAGCCATTGCTTGTTCTTCTTCTGAAGTGTGATGGGCAAGATGACCTCTGTATTCTCGAAGGCTGGAGATACAAGTCTCGACGTCGCACTTGAGCTGGTCAAGTTTCTGCAGTTCCATGGGACTTGTGCCGGCTGCTTTTGCTGAGTCTTCCTTGAGTTGGATATCAGTCTTCATTTCTTGAAACATTGCAAATCCATGAACGCATCGCTTGCAACTTGGCAGGTGGCTGTGTTTCTGAGGACATTTGATGTCATCAATGTTATCTGGAGGTAAATAGGTAAGATTGGTTAGATACATCACTGAACGATAATGGCCATTGCATGCATTGATTCTCTCACCTTTGTCGCAGAATCCACAAGTCAAACAGTTACATTGATGTTGTGACACGGCCCGAAGGTGAGGCATGAAATCAGTGTTGTAATAGGTTTCTTGTGAATCTACCCTTTCCAAATACTCTGTTGCTTGTTCGCCTTGGTATACATCAGCAATGATGCCTCAGGCTTGAATCCAATTGCCCTGCCCTTTCAACGTCTTCACATCATCCAAGCCAGCCAATTTCAATATTTCTGGACCTGTGAGTGACTTGACTAAGTCAAGGGCGGTGGTGAAGGAAATGGATCCCTCCCTTGTGAATCTGCATTTGCCTCCATGCTCTTTTGCATTCATGCATCTTTGATCTGCCCTGTCTCTTTCGGAGCAACGACAATCATCCTTTCGTTTTTGGTGTTATGGATGTCAGAAATCTGATGCAAAGAGGCTTCCACTTCCATAATGTACTTTGCAGCGGCCTCCTCAAGCTTTGAGCGTAGAGACACATTGTCGATATCTACGGTTCCCATGCCATGGCCATTACAAATTTCGACAACTTTGTTCCCATATGCATATCTTTGTGTATTTGCAGGTGAGCTGAGGAATGTCATCAGCGCTTCTAATACTGCATGGGGGACTCTCATCCGACTGATTTTTTCCTTGACCACAGGCTGGTGTTCTCCGGGCCAGCATGCATGGATCTTGATCTTTGTCCACTCGTCGCTGGAAATTGATAGTCCTGTTGCTTCCTCAACAATCACTCTTGAATGTCCTTTGTTGGCGAGAGCCGCTAGCTTTGGCCTGTTAGAAGTAAGCGATCCAGTGCCGCCTGCAATCTACCTGTTTCAATTGACTGCGATTTAGCTGTCCAGGTATTGTTGCCTTCTAAGTATGTGAATTTACAGTATATAGAAGTATATAGATCCTACTTTATCAACCAATTCACTCGTTGCTTGCAATATATTATAAAAAGTGAGAACAGTCTGTCAACTTCTGACTTTGACTCTTTCTTCTCCAGCTCAGTGGAAATTTTTAGAATTCTCTCTACGTCAGCCTGACATGCTGCAAGTTCAATCTGTTTATCCGTTCACATTCCACTGTAGTCGGTACTTTGATTAGTATCCAACTTTGGCTCTTGCTTGAGTCTTGCTTTCTTACA